AGGAATGGGGTAAGTGTAATCTTACCCTGTATTGTTTATAAACTTAAAAATCCAGCATTTTCTGCTTTCAACAGATGAGAAGTGTGATTTCATTGAAGCAAACATACGCAAGCTGGGATTAACCCTTCACGTGTGTAACATAGCAACAGCCTGTCACCTCTGTTACTGGTCTTACTGGCCTCTGACTTTCCTTTCAGACCTTTCAGAAAATACTGTAGAAGTAGAAAAGCTATCTGTTTTGCAAGTACTCCAGGGATGCGCTTTATAAAGTTACCCTGTTTCTTTGGAAATGCTGTCTTCTGCCTCATGGTTTTAGACTATATAGAAACCCAAGTGTTTTTGATGCTCTTTGAGATTGTCGTTTCTTACTAAAACATAAGAAACTTTAAGTAAGACCATCTCTTTCTAAGGAAAGTTTAGACTTCTCAGATGACGATTCTATCTTGGATGTACCAGGGTTATTTTTCAGACCTATTCTACTCCTTTTGAGCTCTAAATGACATGTAAAACATGAGTGTGTGTGCATACATATGCATGCACATTCATTTTTCCTCCTGTTACTGTCCATCCCCTACTCATCATGTGGATGATATGCTATTTGGGACTTAAGATATTCAACTTTCACATCTGCTGGTAGTTAATGGCTTGTTTTATATGGCAAGTTAGCTAAAATACTGTTATTTTATTTATTGAAGCTGTCTGGACTCTTGGTGGGAGTAAAGAAGCACAGAAGAAAATGCTATATAGATTTTAGGAATTTTATATAGACACTTTGGATCGTGTGTATGGCAGTGTTTGGAGTTCATCCAAAGAAGCAAAAATGTTCTCTGACTTTGAAATCTCTTTGGAATGGGTGAGTGATTTTGCTGGTCAGATGAACTGTTTTTACTTCTGTGACTGTGCAGAGGGAATTTCTTCCACCGAGGCTATCTAGCAGTAGTTACTATCTGCTTCATCAAACAAGTCTATAAAAAGCATCTCTCTCTCTTTCCTTAGTAGCTGTTTCTTCAACTTTCAGGGTTGAAGTTCTGGTTAAGCTAATAGAAGCTAGTTTCACATTTGCATTTCTGAAACAGCAAGTGTTAAGTCCTGTAGTCTCTGGTGGTTACTGTAACTGAGGAGTTGTTGGGATCAACAGGTCATAGTGGCTTCACACTGTGTGTACCTGAGTCCTAGTGTGTGTGGGAGCACTACCTAAACTATGAAGAAGTATTTTTCTGCTGTGGAAACTATGTGAATCTTGTTCTGTTTTAGTTCCTGTATTTTAGTGTGAGTTGTCATTCCCTTCTTTTAAAGAGTCTAACATTGGCCACACTTGCTCCAAAAGGTTGGTGGGGAATGGCATCTTCTGTTCTTTCAGAATGATTTAAAGACTACTTTCTCTTGGTATGGCCACTAACAAACTCATTAAATTACTGTAATTGTTGTGGTCCAAAGTAAAAGGAAGATTAGGAATTTGTTAAGCTTAATGTAGTTTAGGGTGGCTGTGTGTCTTGAGCTTGTTTCCTGCCAACTTGCTGCATTCTGTTGGGACAATCCAGCTTTTATACTCCTTTTGCCTTTGTTTCTTTCTCAATGACACATCTGGGTTGGTGCAGCTACTGAATCACTAATAGAGGCAAACACTGAAAGCAAAATATTCCAATCAGCGTTTTATTTTTTTTTTTCACATCAGCTTTATTGTGTCTACAGGACACTTAAACAGCATAATACATACAACAGGTTTTAATATATCTTCAGACAAAAATGTTAGCTGCAGAACTTTGTCTAATTAAGAGGAGTGGTTTTCAAGTACGCTGTTTCAGTGTTACTAACTATGGAAACCTTTTGTGATTGCATTAGTTAAAAGGTTCAGGAAGAACATCTGTAGCTACTGATGCATTCCAGTTTGAGAGAATCATATTTTGTAAGTCTGTTGGTAGGGTCAAGTGATACGCTTTCACAAGGTTTCTGCATTAGGTAAATTGATGTAAGTTAACAGGCTTGCTTGTTGCAGAGAGGTACGTTTCTTCTCTGCCTTTTCATCTTAGAATGTTGTGGCTATGGTAAAAATATTTAATCCATGGGCTTTAAAATACAGCTTTGAGCTGTAATAGTTGTCTATGCTTCATCACTTTGCAGAGACAAAACAATGTTAATTGATTTTCTTAAATTTTGTAATTTTGAACACCTGATATCTAGAATGAACAAACATTTTCTGTTTCACAAATGGGTGGTTTCAGAGCAAAATGAAATAACTGTAGTTAGAGGTAAATTATGGATTAAATAGATATGTTACAAATAGAGATACTTTCATGTGCTTAATTGGGTGGTTGTCATTCAGCCATCCTGTACCTTAGATATCCTTAACCCTCAAACAAGTGCAAGGGGGTAAAAAGGCTGTGGATTAATTTAGGGCAGCTAAGCCCCATGCAGCTGCTTGCTCACTCCTCGCCCAGTGGACTGGGGAGAATTGTAAGGGTATAAATAAGAAAACTCATGGGCTGAGATAAAGACATTTTAATAGGTAAAACAAAAGCTGCGCATACAACTCTGCCTCCCCCACACTCCTTTCCCCCAGCTTTCTATGCTGAGCACAGTGTCATACAGTGTGGGACATCCCTTTGGTCAGGGGGGTCAGCTGTCCCAGCTGTGTCCCCTCCCAGCTTCTTGTGCAGCCCCAGCCTCCTCGCTGGTGGGGCAGCGTGGGAAATGGGGAAGGCTTTGATGCTGTGTAAGCACTGTTCAGCAATAGCCAAAACATCCCTGTGTTACAACACTGTAATGGTCACAAATCCAAAACATAGCACCATGCAAGCTACTATGAATAAAACTAACTGTCTCAGCCCCAACCAGTATGTGTCAGTGGAAGAACTGAAACTGCACTGTGGAAGCTAGATGGGTCAGAATAGGAAGAATATTTTGTTTAGAGTTCACCAGCAAAGTTGATAGTGGCATGAAGGGCTGACCTGTTGGTAATGTTAGGATTGTTGTGGTGTGAGGTTTTTTGGTTTGTTTTTTTTTGACTGCTGCTTACTGATGTTACAATAAAAAAGAGGCCTAATCCAACTGATCCACATCTGTACCTATGATGGAATTATCCTGATTTATCTGCTGTCTGCATAACTTGATGGCCAAAGTTATAGAATGCCCATAAATAAATATGGAGTGGAATATCCCTACTTCTCAGGGACTTAGTTACATGGGGAATATCCAAACTAGAGATAAGGAACTTGCTAGTCTATATAGTATGTCTGCTGTGTTTCACTCTGCTTCTGAGAACTGTGATCTAATTAGACTTGACAAGGAAGAAGGGATTGGACATAGAGATGTAATATAGGTGGAATTGTTGGGATTGCATATTGCACATCAGCAGTGCTCTTCTTTCTTTGTCCATTTCTGAGACCTTTCTCAAAGCTACGCGTGTGCATGCCAGTTTCTTGACCCTTAATTTTAGCATATTCTGGCCAGTCTTGGTAATATTTGACGGGGGACTCAAATACGCTTTTTAATCTTACCTAAGCACGTTTCCTCTCTTCAGCATGCTGTAGAAGATATGCCAATTCAACATTTATAAATGGTGATACCATAGAGTACTCAAAACATGTTGCTGTGACTCAGTGAGCTGCCATGTGCTTGTTAAACCACAATAGCTGGCCCTAATAGGATAAATGTGTTGACTAAGGCAATTCAAACATAACTACCACTTAGCCTGTCCCCCTGAAGTTATGTGTATGCAGGTAGCTGGTATGGTTTGGGGGCAGTGGTTACAGACTGCGTGTCTGGTCCCTGACTTGTATTTCATGTCAGAGAGAATTTGCTGTTGAGCAGTGCGCTCTGAGCCTCTTAGCCATTGTTCCACTGACCCTGAAGACAAGCTCCCGGTTGTTCAAGTGAAGTAGTTAATAATGTATGAGGAAAGCATTAGTTTTGAAAAACTAACATGATACCTGTTAATACGGTACACAACATTGCATTAGAATTGAGAGCATTTATTTGTGAAAACAAACTGGGATTGATTTATTTTGTCCATTTGTTTTTTGCCAAAATAGCCTGACCTGCCTCCTCAGAGAGAGAAAGGATGGGTGTGTGTGTGTGTGTATATATATATAAAAATAAGTATAGATATATCCCCTTCCCCCCAGAAAACTGTCAGGAGCGGTCCATGTACATACATATATATATTTACATGTGTGTGCTGATAATAACCTGAATATTCCAACTATAAACTATTGTAAAATGAAAATAATTTTTTCTTCTTTTTTTTATTAACTATGTAACTTAAGTAAATAATGAGAAGGCAATAGACGTGTACATTTTAAAGATCTTTTGCATAGTGTTCTACAGGTAATGTCTTGTTATGTGTTTATAGTTTGCATTTTCTCTCTCATTTTAAATTTTGGGTAGTGGCTCCAAGCTTCTACCTCACAATTAAAGAGGGAAATGGGTAGGAAACAGATGGGATACAAAGCTGCTTTGTCTGATGGCACTAAAATCATGCAAGGTTAGGTGAAGAAGTCTTGTGTCTGTCTTACAGGATCCAAATTCCTGGGTAAATATTCACCACCTGGAGTATACAGATGGAGGAATCCTGGACCCAGATGATGTGCTGGCAGATGTTGTGGAAGACAAAGATAAGGTAGAGCTTGGATGAAAATACTACTTTTGCTTTTTGCTGTGTCTTTTTAAATAACTAATGCTACTTTCTCATTTCTTGGGCATCTGGCAGGTGAAGTGGGTGTTAAATAGTCTTAAATTAAACACATCTGCCCATAGGTGCTGTAGCTCTCTGTTTCTGTAGTAGAACTGGAAGGGGGGGGGGGGGGAAGTACATGACCAAAGCAGTGAAGATAATCAGAGGAGCCTAGCAGTTGATTTAGGACTTAACCTTTTCAAGCAGTTCTGTGTTTCTTTTTATTGCTGTATGAAAATAGAGTGGTGAAGGAATTTGAGTTTTGCAAGACATCTTTTTTACGCCGCTTAAAGTATCTTTTATAATATCTTCCTTTGCTTAGAATTAAGTTTTTGAGAATCATTCAAATGTCATGGTTGAATATGTGTGACAAAATAAACAGACAAATCCTCTGATGACAAGAACAGCTGCCTCAACTGCATTAAATTTCAGGAGTTCCTGTGATTTGTTACTGAAAGTATAAGCAGGCCAGTTACTAATTTGAAAAGCTATGAGTCTCTAACTTTCAGTTCAAATAAGATAGATGTCCTTTCTAGATAGAGAAGTAGTATCTGCAAAGAAGCCCCTTTTAATTTTTTTGTAATTATTCGGAAAATTTACTTTTGGTAAACTAGTTGGTGACTTATTTCAGCATAGAGGAGGAGGGATATAATTTATCATACTCTTCTGTTTTCTTTCTTCCTTTTTTTCCTTCGTAAAATCAGAGGAAAAATATATCTAGTGACTTGAAACTTAAGATCCAGATATGGGATATGCCTGTACTTTCAGACAAATAGCTTTGTCTATTTACAGTGCCATATGCTTGGTGACTTAAGAAATAATTTTGTATATTGCAAACAGAAATGTTCATTTTGTATGCTGTTGATTCTTCAATGACTTAATACAAAGTGCAACATTTTGCTTATGATTAATGGGATACTGTTTCTCAGTACCTTAGAAAATTGTCTAAGGCATACTTCAGTGTCATTTTATGGTGCTTTGTGTGGGTATTCTTAAAAACAAAGGAACTCTGTTTGGTATGTGGTGTGGTGTGTTGTGTGGTTTTTTTTGTTTGTTTGTTTTTTTGGTGTTTTTTTTGGGTTTTTTTGGGGTTTTTTTTTGGGGGTTTTTTTTTTGGTTTTTTTTTTTTTGTTTTTTGTTTTTTTTAATCAAAGTTGTATTTCTTGCTTGTCCATAGTTACTGGAAGTGTACTTATATTGTCTTTTAGCCCCAGCCAGCAACTAAGCTCACTCCCCTGGTGGGAGTGGGGAGGGAATCAGAAGAGTAAAGGCGAGAAACCTCGTGGGTTGAGTTAAAGACAGTTTAATAGGTAAAGCAAAAGCTGTGCGCACATCAAAGCAAAACAAGGAATTCATTTGCTGCTTCCCATTGGCAGGCAGGGGGTCAGCCACCTCCAGAAAAGCAGGACTCCATCACACGTAGCGGTTACTTGGGAGGACAAATGCCATCACTCCGTACGTCCCCCCCTTCCTCCTTCTTTCTTCCCCCAGTTTATATGCTGAGCATGACGTCATATGGTCTGGAATACTCCTTTGGCCAGTTGGGGTCAGCTGTCCTGGCTGTGCCCCCTCCCAGCTTCTTGTGCACCTGGCAGAGCATGGGAAGGTGAAAAAGTCCTTGACTGATGTAAGCACTGCTTAGCAACAACTGAACCATCAGTGTGTTATCAACATTCCTCTCTCACTAAATCCAAAACACAGCACTACACCAGATACTAGGAAGAAAATTAACTCTATTCCAGCTGAAACCAGGACAACTTAAAACACTCTGAGACTTCTTTTCCAGTAGTGTTTGGAGACTAAAGCCTGGGTTCTGAGGATTGATGCAGCTGTATGTAAAGGATAAGACCATAAGCGTAAAGATGTAATAAAATGAGATACTGCATTGAAGGGGAATGCATTACTGGTCTCACCAGTTAATAAAACTTAAGGTGTCCTCCCAGGATTTCCTCTATTTGAAGTGCTGATACAGGAACACTTATGCAGATATGAGCAGTAGTTTGCAGAATATTTGATATACCATCCAGTTTTTAACTTGTTGCCAAAGCCTTTGCTATACTTTATTGGTGGGTGTCACTGGTTGAGTGTGTGTTACTGATAAAGTTTCTAGTTCACACACAGCTGTAGGTTTAAGCATCTTCTCTTATAACAGTGCTAGGTGGGACTCTGTAGTTCTGAGGTTGCCTTGAGGAAAAAACATTGGAAAACTGGGATTTTACTTGCTGAAGTGGCCTGGGGTGGTTTAGGAATACAGCAAACTTCTCACTTTCTCTTCCTGTGATGCCTCAATTACATGTGATGCATCACTGCCATCTTTTCTTCTTCAGAAGGCCTTGGTGAAACAGCAGTAAGTAAGACTTGCTGATCAGCAGCAGCTGCAGTGACAAATCAGTTTTTTTGATTGAACTAGGGGAGAATCATGTAACCGTTTAAGGGGGCTGCTGGTCGAGAGGTCAAAGAATTCTTTCATTTGAGAGTGGAACTGGGCCATAGCATGTGTAAGGAACTATCCATACTGCCTACTTACAAGGTTTGGTATGATCTGATAGCAGAGAACCAGCCCCATAAAAGGCTTTCAAATATTTTTAATAGTTTTATTGTGGCCTATTAGCCTTTGAGCCTTTGCCAGTGCTATTCCACACTGAGAATATTGGCTAGGGGATCTTTAAACTTTGCAAAAAGGGGAGGAGGTAGTTAGATCTAACTGACATGATATCTAATTTGGTGTTTAAAGTCCCTAAATAGATGAAAGAATTTTCAGTACGTTTATCTGTGTACTGATTCTCTTGGGTTACGATTATCTGTATGTGTGGTTATGATTATCTGTATGTGTGATAAATGATTAGGCCACGGCTTTGTTGCTCTCTTGTCCTTGTCCTCCTTTCCTATGCATCCAAGCCAGCAGTGCAGTCTCCCATGAAATCAGGCGCTCTCTATAAAAATAAGCGTTGCCCTTAACCTCAGTGCCTTTAATCAAAGGTGTGTTTGGCATTGCTGACCATCAAGCTGCTCTTTAGTGGCAGAGGAAACTAGTTGATGCTTTTTAAAGGGTTAATCTGCTCTAGATCATACTTCGGATAGCAGTAAATTAGCACAGTTTCTTCAAAGGAAAATGTACTTGCTAATCTATTGAAATTCTTTCACTGTGGCAACAAAACAGTGAATCAGAGAGAGCTATCAGATATAATTTATTTGGAATTTCAAAAGCTTTTGACAGTCCTTAACAATAGACTGTTAAGGAGGCACAGCTACTCATGAGGTAAGAGGCAAGTGCTGCCATGGGTCAGTAAATGATTGAGAGGGAACAAAAAGATGGAATAAATGGTCAGTTACCAACATCGTAAAATGATGATACTGGGATGCATAATGCACATTATTGGGAGTGTCAGTGTTTTTGAGCTCTGCTTATGTTAACTTCATGGTTTCCTCTTGAACTCAAAATTAATCAAAATTCAGCAAATAGGCAGTATCGTGGATGACATTAATTGCTGTCAACTGCACAGTTATGCATGTTGGAGAGGCTGGCTTGTTCTATTTGCATATAAAAGAGGTCTAAATTAGTATTACATGTGCTTGGTAACATGTGTCATGTGAAAATGCTTTGGGAGTTCTTTATGGTGAGAGCCCCTCTTGCTGCCACTGCCACAGCAATTGCCACACCAATTCTGTGGCCTGAATTGGATGTCAAAGCTAGTGTTGAATAGTTTTAAAATAGTTTGTTTTCACTGAGTTATCTAGCAAGTGGTTTGTGTCCTGATTATTCTGAATGATGGATCTAATTAATGAAAAAAGCCAAATTTTGTCATTTAAATACAAACATGCTATTTAAATTGTCTGCTTTTAATGTGTTGAAGCTATAAATGGAATCCTCTTTGTACGCTGTTCTTAACAGATCTCTATCACTTGAAATGACATTTTTTTATCTTGAGGAAGAAAATGCCCTAAGAAAATTTCTATGCTGTGCAAAAGACGAGTACAAAATGTTTCCCTTCATGTCATTGTGTACATGCATAAATTTAATGTACTTATCTAAGTTTCCCTCTCATTTTTATATGGAGTCATGTCTTCAAATACTCACAAACACCTGGGGAGACTAAAAAGATGTAACGAAGCCTGTATTAATAAATTAAAACTTGCTTAGCTTATAGGAAGTTATTAACAGTTTAAACTCTTCCTAGGTCAGAACAGTTCTGCTCTCTGAATACATATGAAAGTCTACAGGGGAAATACAGTTTCTGTCTAACCTAACATATACGTTCATATTTTGGCAGGATTAAATACAAGCAAAACGTGCTTACTGGTATGCTTTTATCAGCAGAGCCCTTCTGAAGTAGAGAATGATGGTCTGCTGTAAGAGCGCTGGGGTTTTTGTTTGGTTTTTTTGGTCAGGTTACACTTGCAAGGGCAGTATTGCAGTATCTACAATTTGGCCAACAAAGCTGTTGAACATTAATGTAAAGATACCATTTCCTGATCAGTGCTGCTGGCAAGAGATCTAGGCTTCTCATCCTAGAAGGTGGTGTAGGTTTAACCTTGCCAGAAGCTTGTTTGTTAGCAGTTCCACTGCTTTAGATATACAGTAGGGGTGTTTTGTGGGTTTTTTGTGTGGTGGTTTTTTTTTAGGAGTGGAAGGAAAAAAAGGGTGTGTGACTGTGATGGGCATTGCACTGGTACTGAAATAGCAGACTGCGAATATGGTCTCAGAAATAGTTTTTGCTTCGATATCTCCTTTGTTAAATACAGGTGACTTGGGTTTTTTAACAGCAGCAGAAGCTTTTGAAGGACACAACATTAATGAAATGCTGAAACAGTGACATTACTTCAAGATTTGGAGGGACTGTAACTGTCATTTAAGTGTTTCTAATGATGATATCAAGTAAATGGTATGAATTAAGTGTAGTTCAGATACTTATTTTAGCTAAGCGTTTAATGAAATACTAAATAGC